CAGGGGGAGCAGCTTGCAGAGGGAGAAGCAGGCTCCCCGCGGAGCAGGGAGCCCCATGTGGGACTCCATCCCAGGACCCTGGGATCATAAACAGAGCCGAAGGCAGATGCTTAACTGACTGAGCCACCCAGGCGTCCCTGATCATGTATCCTTTAAGCTTCATCTCCTGATGTGTTTTACCTGATTCTCTTGGTATTCCCCAAGTCGGATTCCAAAGGATGAGAAACCTGTTGTGCCAGTTCAGCCCTATTTGAGCAGAGTTTTGCAGCAAAGCATCTCAGAGGATGTTGGCTACTCTGGATCTGTTGCCCATTCTTGACCCAGTCAGTTGTGTGGAGAGGAGGGGTCATAGAGCCACATGGCAAAGAACATGGTTGTTTAGGGCTACTCTGCTAAGCAGGTGCTTGTAGGTGATTCAGCTCCTTAAAAGGTGATCACTATCTATCTATCAGTTATCTATCAGTTAGCCCACCAGTAGCTGGGCTTTTATGTATAGTGCGATAATATAGATAAAATTATGTAGTGTTTTTAATTATTGTTTTATCATGAACATATAAAGACTTCATATTTGTCCAGCTTAAATAGGCATAATAGTTCAGTGGATTGACTATGATTTATTTAAGCAATCTCCTACAATTAGATATTTAAATTCTGTTCTTTAAAAAAAAATGTTAACCAATTTGGAATATTCTATAATGAACAACTTATCAGTGTATATTTTTACTTTTTGAATTTTTCTCTTAGGGGTGTATCAATTAGCAATGTTTTTCTTTTTTTAAACATTTATTTATTCATTTTTAGAGAGAGAGAGCAAGAGCAAGAGCCAGGGGCAGGGGCGTGGGGAGGAGCAGAGGGAGTAGGAGAGAGCATCTTGAGCAGACTCCACACTGAGCCCGAGGTGGGGCTTGATCCCACAATCCTGAGATCCTGAGATCACGACCTGAGCCGAAAGGAAGAGTGGGATGCTTAATCAACCATGCCACCCACGTGCCCCTAGCGATGTTTCTAACTGCAAAGAACAGAAAGCTTCTCTAAAGTTCTTCAAGAGATTTTTTTTTTTTTTCCATGTAACATGTCACTCAAAGGTAGATTTAGTTCTCTGGGCCTTTTTCTCATGTTCATATTCTCAAAATGAGTGCTGAAGCTCTAGGTATAATATCAGCATTCAAGGTAGAAAAGCGGAAGAGAGAATGCCATTCAGATCTTCCTTTTCACTGTTATCATCCTGAGTCACCTCCAGTAGACATAGACTTCTGTCTCTTTGGCCAGAATTGTGTTACATGTTCACCCCTACCACTATGGGAGGCTACAAGAGCAAGCGTCTTTCCAACCTCCTTATTTGGAATAAGCACAGAAGAAAAGAGCTGGGAATGTGTACTAAACTGGGATTTCTGGTGTTGTCGCAGGGGCTTCTCGAAAGTGTTGAAGCTGTGAAAACATTCCTTCAAGTAAAATCTTGCCTGGAAGCGTATTTGGAAAAGCTGATAGTTCCCGTCTCCCCTGAGGAAGCACCCTCACCTCCTGCTTCCTTGCCAAACCTGAAGCATGGCATTTAGGTTCGGTCGATCAGACATTCTTTCCTGTCTTTGAATGACGAGCACTTGACAGTGTGGGGGGTGATCGGAGGTCATTTTCCTCTCAGCAGCAATGCCACATGCACCTGACTGACTGGTCTTGCTCTGTGACCTGTGGTTCCAGCTGCGTAGCACTCTGGAATTCTCGTTTCCTGCGTGTTTTCAGAACCTGGTTGTAGAGTTTCCCGGAGATTCTGCGAGCCTCTGAGTTTGTTTCAGCGCATTGACTTTTGGCTTAAGATAGGCAGGGTTAACTTCTTTTGCTTATAGCCCCAAGTCCTGACCAATACATACTCTCCCTAGCAGTGCCACGGACAGCCCTGTAGAACTTCTAAGGTTGCAAGGGGGCATAGTTTAAAATCTGCTGCCTTAGGATAAATCCCTTGGACTGGAATTAAGGGACAAAGGTACAAATAGTTTAAAGTTTCTTGATAATTATTGCCAAAGAGTGTTCCAAAAGTATTGTGAAAATTTACTTAACCACAAACATTGGGTATTATCGTTGTAACTTTTGCTAGTACGATGGCAGGGAAATGGTTCCTGTTAGTGTTTTAATTTGCATTTATTTGAGAATATGAAGCTCAGCACTTTTCTTATGTTGACTTATGGTTATATTTCTATTTATGGAAGATGTCTGTTTATTCAGGCTTTATTTTTTTCTGTTTACGACGTGAACTTCATATAATTTAGATATTCATTCTTTGAACACTTACTGCAAACATTTTTCTTGGTCTATTTTTATCTGCCTCTTGTTACTTTTCTTTGTACAGAAGCTTCACATTTTTATGTAGTAAAATCTGTTCGTCTTTTCCTTTGTCATTTCTTCTTTTGCTTCAGTGCTTTAAAAGTTACTATTCCTCCAAAGATCTGATAAGTAGTGAATTCAATTTCCTGCTAGTTTTTCTGTGATTTGGCTTTTGTATATTTTAGTCTTTAATCTGGGATTTTGTTTTTTTTTTTGAGTATTGTATGAATCTAAATAACTACATTGGCTTTTAGATTGATAGGCTTTTGTGAACAAGCCAAGCCTCTGGGTTTTTGTTTTGCTTTGTTTGGGGTTTTAGTAATGCAAACGAAATTGTCCAGGGACCAGGGGCTTGTTATTTGAGAGAAGTGTGAGTAAAGTGGAGAGAAAACTTTAGACAATTGAGATAGAAACAGAGACAGGGAAGCGCTGAATCAGAGACAGAAAAGCTGGAACAGAGAGTGAAACAGAAACAAAGAGAAGTGAGGAATCAAAGGTCAAGAAGCCAAAGGAGGGAAACCAAGATCCAGTGTAGGAGAGGGCTTAGGATGTCTCTGGGCCTGGAGCTTGGATGGGTGACCACAGAGGCTGTGGGAGTGACCAGCAGAGGCTGAGATGACACCAAGGGGCAACAACGGAGGGTCACCCTCTGCCACACTGCCCCATCCAACGTTAGCCCGTCCATGGGCCTGGGGAGGCCTCGCATTTCATTTGGGGCTCCCAATTTCCTCCTCATTCTCCAGTCAGCTCCAGGTCTGGGGATGGCAGGGCGTAGAGGAAAATACCTTTCCTCTTCTCCTATCTGTAGTCTTCCTTCTCTCTCGTGTCCTTTCCGGTCTGCCTTCAGGCAAGCATTCAAGGAAGATCCTGAAGACCAATCATCTAAGTGGCCACCCATGGGGGCTGTATAAGCCAAATATCTCAGCCTAGCTCGGAAACCCTGTTATTATCCTATCTGAGGGGTTAAGTAACTGTGCCCAACAATAAAGGGTAGATCTGGATTCAAACCCTGGTCCCATCGAATTCCAAATCTTGCAGGTGTTTACCATGCATCAAGATATTGGGCTTATCTTATATCTCCACTAGAAATTATCTTCCCCAACATGCTTTCCTCGTCATCTCTGCTTATCCAGATGTCATCTTCCCATCACTGCCACCTTCCACATCCTATAGCTCAGGCTTCATTTGGCACTGAGACCTTACTTATAGTCCGATCTTCTACTCTTCCTTAAATATTATGGTATTTTGTTTTGTCTCCCCATTGTAACCTGGGATGGTGTGTTTTACCTCTTTGGACTCCCTGCATTATTCTACACTGTGCTGCCCAATTGTTGGATCATTCACTCGATCACTCCAGGGAAGAGATGTGTTATGAAGCCAGCTAAGCTACTCCAGTGGGTGACTGGAGCTTATTCCCACTGAGAAATTATGAGACGTGATCTGGATTTTCCTAAACAAAAGTGAGGGAACTGCATCTCCTTAGAGTCATCGGCTGGCGGTTGCTCGGGGAGCGTGGGGGTGTGAGTTGGGAGTAGCGGGGCGGTGGGTGCTAATTCCCTGAACTGGCCTGCTGGTGGCAAGAAGGGACTTGCACAGTTCAGAAAAATCCATCAGGCAAATAAATGAAATTCTTGAGGCATTGGGTCCCTGAGTACATTGCAAAGTCCCAGGATATGGACAGAACTCAATCAGCAATGAATGAAAATATGTTTCCCCTGACTTTCCCACCCTAGTGTTATTAAATGTTTGAACTTTTTAATTGTATAGGTGAAAAATAATACTAACTAAACAAAAATAGTAACTGTGTCATTTTAATTTTTATGTATAATTCACATGACTTTTATTTTTATTTTTTTAAGATTGTATTTATTTATCCATGAAAGAGAGAGAGAGGCAGAGGCAGAGGGAGAAGCAGGCTTCCCGCTGAGCAGGGAGCCCGATGTGGGACTCTATCCCAGGATCCTGGGATCATGACCTGAGCCGAAGGCAGATGCTTACTGACAGAGCCACTCAGGCGCCCTCACATGACTTTTTTTTTTTTTTTAAAGATTTTATTTATTTATTTGACAGAGAGAGACATAGCGAGAGAGGGAACAGAAGCGGGGGAGTGGGAGAGGGAGAAGCAGGCTTCCCGCCGAGCAGGGAGCCCGATGCGGGCCTCGATCCCAGGACCTGAGCTGAAGGCAGATGCTTAACAACTGAGCCACCCAGGCCCCCTCACATGACTTATAAAAAAATTTAAAACTCACCATCCATCTAATACTTCTTTAACTATAAAGGACTCTGACATGTGCCAGTAAATGATCACACCCTCATCTCACCCTATAACGAGGTGTTACTGTTATTTTCATTTTAAAGCACCAGATAGAGAGTAAAGACAACCATTCAGGTTGTCTGTGGTGGGGATGGAATTTGACATCAGGTTTTCTTACTTCAAAACCCATGCTCTTTTTACTGTACCTACGTGTCCTTTGGACAAAATTTTATCTTTCGAATGGAAGAAAACAGACCAGCCACTTAACCTCTCAGTTTTTTGATCTATAAAACAAAGAGTAGTGAACATCTGTTGTTTGTGTCTCTCCAGCATCCTCTCGCTATTCTTCTGAGAGCATCAAAATGATCAACTGGGAATTTGTTAGAATTGCCAATTCTTGGGCTTCCCCCCGCCCCACCCCCCCACAGTCTACTGAATCCGAAACTCCTGGGCTGGGCCCCAGCATCTGTGTTTTAACAAGCCCTCCAGGTGATTCTGATTCATGCTGAAGTTTGAGAAACACTTGCTTAGGGGAAAGAACTTAAGTGATGCCATCTTGCCAACCCCAGGGGAAACCCTGCTTAAGACAAGAGCCATGTAGAAGAAGCACAGCTGAGAGATACAGAGAGTGAAAGAGTCCTAAAGACCCCATTTGAGACTCTGAGTCTCGTCCAGCTTGAAGTCAGTGCAACAGCTGTATCATGTAGTTACATGAACCAATACGTTCTTTTTATTTCAGTTTGAGTTGGGTTTCTGTCACTGGCCACCAAACACGTTCTGTTGAAGGGAACATTTGTTCCTCCTTAAGTTCCAAGGGGAGAGATTCTCTTCAAGCATTGGTTCTCCAAGTGTGATACCAGGATAGGCAGCATCAGCATCACCAGGGAACTTGTTAAAAACCACAGTTTAGGGACACTTGGGTGGCTCAGTCGGTTGGGTGTCTGTCTTCGGCTCGGGTCAGGGTCCCAGGGTCCTGGGATCAAGCTCTGCGTCGGGCTCGCTGCTCAGCACGGAGCCTGCTTCTCCCTCTTCCTGCTGCTCCCCCTGCTTGTGTGCACTCTCTCTCATTCTCGCAAATAAATAAAATAAAATCTTAAAAAACAAAACAAAACACAGTTTTTCAGACCCTCCCACATACCTACCGAATCAGGGTCCTGGGGATGGACCCTGGCAATCTGTGTGGGAATAAGTCTTCTTGGTGATTCTGATGTCCACTAAAATTTGAAAATCACTAGAGTGAGACTCCCAGACTCCCTCCCCACCCCTTATTCATCCTTTTCCACGAGGAAAATTATCTCATTATCTAATTAATGAGTTCAGCAGAATAATCTGGGCATGCTCAGTTTAACTCTTCCCTTTGTTTTCTTTGGCAGCCTGACTAAAGGGGCGCTCATTCCGCGCTCCTGTATGTGCCACAGCTGTGCAGAGGCAGACCCCCCAAAAGATGAGGCCTGCAGGTATTCCAGCCCTGCCTGTAACTCAGCGGTAAGTTTATTTTGGGAACAGCATAGACAAGCCCACTTGGCCTCACATCTAAGCCATGTCCTCCAGTATAGCTCTTACTGGTAATAAAGCTGACATTTTTATCTCCATCTGTTGGTTTTCTGTGTCCTATTTCTCACTTGGTTCAGAACTTGGGTGAGGAAGACGGCTGTTATTTATTGGGTCCCCTAATGCCCAACACTGACTAATACGGTTGTGGGGGGTGGAGTAGAAGATCTCTCAGGTGCCTTCCCTTCTTACATTTAGGGCATGGTGTCTCACGCTCTCTCACCAGCACTCCTGAGTGCCCCGTGAAGAAAACCTTATTTGTTCTCACTAGACCAGTGGTATTGCACCTGCGGGAGACAGAAAGATCCTGTGGCTCACAGGGCACAGGAGGGAAGATTGCAATCACAGAGCATTTCCTTTCAGTTCTCTTCCGAAACAGTGTAATCCTGTGGGGCAGGAATGGGGCCTCGAAACCACTGCATTTTAAGAAGCCTCCGAGGAGCTGTCTCCCTTGCCCTAGTGTCAGGTGCTACCCAGCCATCTAACCTAAATCCATATGGCTGCATTTGAAGTTGTGTCCTATTCTGGAGGCCAGAGATGTCTTAGCTTACCATTTCCAAAGCAAAGACTTCCATTTTCTCTCTTCCACGCTCCTGGTCTTTCACAGGTTCTTCGCAAATCTTTAAGACAGTCATAGGCACGGTCCTGGTAAGGGATGTGGATTAAAGAGGGGCCTGTTTGGAGCTCCATAAACCAGGCCTGGGTGCTACAGTCAGCATGATATTCAGGGTTCAGTCCCCTTACAGCAGCAGGCATGACTCTCTCCGGAAACACGCTGCAGGAAAGGAAAGGACAAAGCAGCTAGCACAGTTCAACCTGAGTGGTACGGGACGACAGAAGTACTTTGTGTGTATTGACCCTGATTCTTGTTCTTCCTGGAATAGTTAATTTTCCCAGATTATCTAACAAACACTAAATTTTCCATAGTTAGATTATATATGTACAACCTTGGCTCCTGCTTTGTCCGTATTGTTTATAAAACAAATAAAAGGGGCACCTGGGTGGTTCAGTCAGTTGAGCATCTTAACTCTTGGTTTCAGCTCCGGTCATGATCTCGGAGTCGTGAGATCAAGCTCTGCGTTGGGCTCTGCCCTTGGTGCAGAGTCAGCTGGGGATTCTCTCTCTCCCCCTCTGTTCCTCCCCCTTCTCACTCTCTCTCATAAATAAATAAATAAATAAATAAATAAATAAATAAATAAATAAATAAATAAATCTTTAAAAATCTGTTCATAAACATGACTTCATATTTTTTCCGACTTAAAAAAGAAGAGATTGGACTTCATTAAAATAGAAAAACTTGTGCATCAAAAGCCATATGAAGGAGTGAAAAGTCACAGAATGGGGACTGCCTCTGCAAATCACATCTCTGATAAGAATTTGCTATTCAGAATATATAAAGAACTCCTTGGGAGCCTGGGTGGTTCAGTCAGTTAAGCGTCTGCCTTCAGCTCAGGTCATAATCCCAGGGTCCTGGGATGAGTCCCGCATTGGGCTCCCTGCTCAGTGGGGAGTCTGTTTCTCCCTCTACCCTTCCCCCCTGCTCATGATCTCTCTCTCTTTCACTCTCTCTCTCAAATAAATAAATAAAATCTTAAAAAAAAAAAAGAACTCCTGCAACTCAACAACAAAAAGACAACCCAATTAAAAAATAGGCAAAGAACTTGAATAGACATTTATCCAAAGATGTACAAATGGCAAATAAGCATATGAAAATATGCTCAACATCATTAGTCATTAGGAAAATGCAAATCAAAACTACAGTGAGATGCAACTTCATACCCAGTGGGATGACTAGAATCAAAAATGGAAAATAACAAGTGTTGATTAAGATGTGGAAAAATAAGAACCCTCCCACATTGCTGGTGGGAATTAAAATGGTGTAGCTGCTGTGTAAAATAGTTTGGCAGTTCCTCAAAAAGTTAAACATAAAATTACCCTTTGACCCAGTGATTTCACTCCCAGGCATATACCCAAAAGATCTGAAAACAAGAACTCAGATATTTGTGGGACGCCTGAGTGGCTCAGTTGCTTAAGCGTCTGCCTTCGGCTCGGGTCATGATCCCAGGGTCCTGGGATGCAGTCCCATATCGGGGGGGTCCTTGCTCAGTGGGGAGTCTGCTTCTCCCTCTGCCTGCCACTCCCCCTGATTGTGTTCTCTCTCTCTCTGACAAATAAATAAATAAAATCTTAAAAAAAAACTTAAAAAAAAAGAACTCAGATATTTGTGTATGAATGTTCATAGCAGTATCATTTACAATAGCCAAAAGATGGAAATAATCCAAATTTCCATCAACAGATAAATGGATAAACAAATTGTGGTATATCCATACAATGGGGTACTATTTAGCCAATAAAGGAAGGAAGCATGAGTACATGCTACAACATGGAGGAACCTTGAACATTATGCTAAACAAAATAAGACACCGAAGGACAAATGTTGTATGATTCCGCTTACATGAAATGTTTAGAATAGGAAAATTCATAGGGACAGAAAGCAGATTAGAGGTTACCAGGGGCTGGGGGTAGGAGAGAATGTGGAATTGCGAGAGAAAGAAAGAAAAGAAAGAAAGAAAAAGAGAGAGAGAGAAAGAGAGAAAGAGAAAGGAAGGAAGGAAAGAAGGAAGGAAGGGGAGAAAGAATGAAATACAGGAAAACGCAAAGTAGGAAATAAAACTCTCCTGTGATATCACTACTTAGGATAACTGAATATCCTACTGGCCTTTTTCCTTTTCATCTATTCATAATGATTAAGTACAAAAGCTTTGAGCCACTCATAGGTTCAAATATACACTCTGCCATTTATTAGCTACATGACATCTCTGTGCTTCCACTTTTTTGTAAAATACAAATAATAATAGAACCCACTTCAGATGGTTGATTTGTGGATTAAATTGGATAATAGGTTTTCAGTAATTAGCACAATGCCAGGCTCCTGGTAAGTGCTCAGCAAATGGTAGCTATTATGTATATATTTTATATTTTCGTATATACTGATTTGTATCCTATTCTCATTTTCCCAAACAAATAAAAATTATTTTTAATGCCAAGTAGTATCCATATTCATATTGTAGCATCGTTTATTTAACCGAGTCTCTGTTGCTGAATATTTAAGTAGGTTTGATTTTTCATTATTTAAAAAAGATACAGCGGTGGACACTCTTGCTTGATTCTTCCTGGCAGCCACTGCCTGGAAGGGGGAGTGTGACTTTGACCCTGCTCCGTCACCTGGGCTCTGGGGCTCCCAAGGCAGTGCACTACATTGAGTCAGGCACCAAGCTGGGAGACAGAATCTGAGTTCCAGTCGTGCTTCTGCTCTATCTCTAGGCAGTGCTGGGGACCCCTCTTTCTATCTGGGCCTTTGCTTTCCCACCTTTAAAATGAAAGCTTTAGCGGGAATGATCTCAGGGTGCTTTTTCTGCTCTAGGGCTCTATGATTCTCCGATGATCCTCCACTAAACTATGGATTCCTCCGGCTCTGTTGTGGCCTTCCTCAGGGCTGTGTGTGTGTGCCCACGCTTCAGTGTGTGTTTCAGTTTCTATTCTTAGCAGTGTGATCTTTAAACAAGGAATAGATTTGTGCATCTGTCTCATCTCAGATGCATGCAGCTCCTGCTGGGCTGTTTCGTTCTCTATCAGCCATTCATTCACATTAGAAGCAGAGGCCCATTAAGGAAATAAGGGGATGGTGCGCTTCCATCAACCATGGTAAGAACTCAACGCTCTCTGATCTGGGGTTTGGCCCTCTTTGGTTATCAGGCCTGGGCTCTGTCTGACCCAGCTATAGATGAGGTCAGGGGGATCTTCGTTTCAGCAGTACCTCCTTCCCCACTCCACCCCTAGATCCTTTCTCTGGGATGGGCCAGGGATGGTATTTGGGCAATGTTGGTTTTTAGAGATGGTGAGTCACCAACATTCCAGATGCGAAGGTCATTGTTTGTTCTGAAATAGAGTGGACATGGATGAGTCTACTCTCCTCCAAGAGTTCTCAGTTATGGAGATGTCTCAGGGTTACTCTGGATATTTAAATATACAACTTCTGAGTCTTGGTCTGCAAACTTATTTATCAAGATGGGGGGTAGGGGAGCCCAGGTTCTTCATTTTAAGGTGATTACAGGTGATTCCGATGTGCATCCCAGTTGGAGAGCATTGGCAGATAGTAGTAAGATTGGCAAACGCTTAAAGCCCACAAAGTCCAGGCAGGTCACATCAATCGGGTTGGGTCCAATAGGACTGCTGGCAACTTTGAGGAACAGGAGCCTCCAGACCTTTTCTCAAGGGCAGCCTGTACTTACATGGACCCAGTTGTCACATGATAATGTTGACCTGGTGTTACTAGATGGTCCCTTTAATTTTATTGGGAAGAGTTAGAAATCCAGATTTGTTTGTGAAATATCCTATTTTAAAATATTGATAACTCAATTACATATTGGTAATTCAATTAAAAAATTGAATTATGCACCAAAACATATCTGCTGGCCAAATCAGGTCTTGAATCTGCCTGTTGAAGTTTCTTTCTTTTTTTTTTTTTTTAAAGATTTTATTTATTTGACAGAGAGAGATACAGCGAGAGAGGGAACACAAGCAGCGGGAGTGGGAGAGGGAGAAGCAGGCTTCCCGCCGAGCAGGGAGCCCGATGTGGGGCTTGATCCCAGGACCCTGGGATCATGACCTGAGCCGAAGGCAGACGCTTAACGACTGAGCCACCCAGGCACCCCTGCCTGTTGAAGTTTCTTGACAGCCCTTTAGCTAGACAGTCACTCAACTTAAGCCAAAATGATGCATCCAACAGTTTTCTTGATTGGTAGCATTATACCATCTCTGTGTTGTGAGGCTCTTCGGGGTTCTGGGTAACATCCAGTTTGGCATGAGGTAAAGTGCTCTAAGCAGGGGAGTCAGAAGACCTGTGTCCTGCTAACAACTTGCTAGATGACACTGGGAAAGAAATTCTTTCCCCAGTCACAGGATTTCTTTCGGTAAGGTAAGGGGGATGATCTCTACCATTCTTTCCAAGTTTGTAGGTCATTCTTTTTGTAAAGATTTACATACTTACCTATTTTATTCCAGCTACTTGAGAAGCAAACTTTTCAGATTAAGATGAAAATTCATCTTTATTTGGCTTGAATGACAACTAGTTTTTTCTTTCCCATATTCTCCTATGTCATCAATGATTTGTTTTTGTAAAGGTTTTCTTTTTTAAGGTTTTATTTACTTGACAGAGAGAGACACAGAGAGAGAGGGAACACAAGCAGGGGGAGTAGGAGGAGGAGAAGCAGGCTTCCTGCAGAGCAGGGAGCCCAACGCGGGGCTCGATCTCAGGACCCTGGGATCATGACCTGAGCCGAAGGCAGACGCTTAAAAACTGAGCCACCCAGGCGCCCCAAGGTTTCTTTTTGTGTAGGCTTTTGGGGTATTTTCTAAGGGCAAGAAAACATTTTGAAATAGAAGTCTAGGTGCAGTTGAGCCTATATGCTTCTTGCTTGCTGAACACTCAAATTTGAATCAAATAATAATAATAAAAAAAGGAATAGAGTTGATACAGGGGACATCTTGAAGTAAAAAGACATTTCCTTGATAGCTCAGATAAAATCCTGCAATTGAATCTTTTCTTCCCATAGTTTTATTAAAATATAATTCATATACCATAACATTCACTTTATTTATTTTAAAAAAGATTTTATTTATTTATTTGACAGAGAGACAGCGAGAGAGGGAACACAAGCAGGAGGAGTGGGAGAGGGAGAAGCAGGCTTCCAGCCGAGCAGAGAGCCCGATGTGGGGCTCAATCCCAGGACCATGGGATCATGATCTGAGCCAAAGGCAGACGCTTAACGACTGAGCCGCCCAGGCTCCCCCATAACATTCACTTTAAAAAGTATATAATTCAATGGTTTTTAGTATTTTCACAGAGTTGTGCAACCATCATCACTCTCTAATCTCAGAATATTTTCCTATCTCCAGAAAGAAACCCCATACCCATTATCAGCCACTCAGCATTTTCCCCTCAGTCCTGGCAACCATTAATCTACTTTCTGCCTGTATGGATTTTCTTACTTTGAACCTTCCATATAAATGGAATTATATAATATGTGCCCTTTTGTAACTGGCTTCTTTCAGTTAGCATCATGTTTTTAATGTTCCTCCCTGTTGTAGCATGTACCAATACCTCATCATTTTTTATTGCCAAATAAAATTCTATTGTATGAATATACCACATTTTGTTTATCCACTCATCAGTTGATGGACAATTGGGTTATTTCTACTTTTTGGCTAGTATGAATATGCTGCTATGAACTTTCATGTACTAGTTTTTGTATGGACATATGTTTTAATTTATCTTGGATCTATACTGAGGGGTGGAATTTCTGGGTTATATGGTAAGTCTATGTTTAACCTTTTGAGGACATGCCAGACTGATTTCCAAAGCAGCGACACCATTTTACATTCTTACCAGCAGTGTATGAGAGTTCTAGTTTTTCCACATCCTTGTCAACAGTTGTTATTATCTGGCTTTTTTATTATGGTGATCCTAGTGGGTGTGAAGTGGTATCTCATTGTAGTTTTGATTCCACAGTTGAATCTGTTCCTGATTGCCCTGACCTAGACTATATACCCACCCTCCAGCTAATAACTGTGGCAGTGGAGGTTGATAATCTTAAGTGAATTAGAGTGAACCCCTGGAGCTTGGGGTGGGTGCCATTCATAAACTAGAGGGGAAATTTGGAGATACTATTTGAAAGGAGGGAGAAATGGATGGCTCAGAGGCAACCGGCACATGTTTTCTATAGGATGGGTTTGCTTGCTTGGTTTCAGGAATTGTCCTATACACAGGGATCGTAGTGGTGCAGAGTAGGAAGGAAAGGAAATCTTGGGCAGGACTCAGGCATAGAAGCGGCTCACAAATAGGTGGATTGAAAGAGATTCTACTGAAAATAGGCTGGTACTTCAGAAGGCAAGGAGCATAATAAGCGGGACACTTTGGTCATCTTCTTGGTCCTGAAGGATTATGGGAAATTATAGGGCTAGGCAGACATCCAGAGACATTTGTGGGAAGACTAACTGGCCTTTTCTCAGCGTTTCTTTGAGGTGGGCTCATCTTCCTTTTCTCTCCTTTTTCTCCTTTTCACATTGATGATAATATCTGTCATTGAGGCCTTTCTGGCTATTACTACTGTGTGACAAATATTTTGCTCTCCCCCACCTCAAAAAAATAGGTGTTTAAAACAACCATTTTGTACCACACTAAAAAAACATAAAAAGAGTTTGGCAACTAAATGCAATGCTTGAGCCAGGACTGGATCCTGTGCTAGGAGGGAAAATGCTCTAAAGCACATTATTGAGTCAAGTGACAAAATTGGAATATCAATGTAGATTAAATGAAAATATTCATATCAGTATTAAATTTACTAAAGTTGATAACCGTATACTCTGGTTATATGAGATAATATCCCTATTCTTAGGAAATATACACTGAAGTACTTAGGGGCAGAGGGCCATAATGTCTGTAACTTACCCTTAAATGGTTCAAAAAATTCATTTTTATATATGGATTATATATATGTGTATAAAATCATAAATTTATATGTGTGTTTCCTATATATATATATATATATGAAAGAGAGAAATAGGGGGGTAAAATGCTCACAGTAGTGGAATTGGGTAAAGGTGGTGTATGGGTGTACTTTATACTTTACACATGGAAATAATTTCTAAATGAAAAACTGAAAGAAGCACAACAAGTTTACTACTTCATTTGGCTCATGATTTTGTGGGTCAGGAAGGGCTAGCTTGGGCAGCTCTTGCTTGGGGTCTCTCATGCAGCTGCAGTCAGATGCCAGGAGGGACTGCCCTCATCTGAAGGCTTGACGGCATTGGGTATCCAAGATGTCTCCCAAGGCCGGCAGTAGGAGCTCAGCTGTACCTTGGACTTGCATGCTTACATGTGGCCTTGCTAGCATGGAAGTCTTGGGGTGGCCAAACTTCTTACTTTGCTTCCCCCAGAGTGAGAATCCCAAGAGAACAGGTGGAAGCTGCACAGCCCCTTCGGACCCGTCTGGCCTTGGAAGTTATACAGCATCTTTTCTGCTGCATTCTATTGGTTCCAAGGAAGTCACTAGGTAGTGCCCAAGAACTTGCAGTCCTGTCCCCAAACTGGCATAAAATCTTACTGCATGCCAAGGCACTGTTTTATGTGCTTTATAGGTATTAACTCATTTGATTCTTACGGAAAAAAACAAAAACAACGACAACAAAAGCAACCCTTATGGTAAGTAGTCTTACTTTCCTTAGAGAAGACAACACTTGGGGCACACAGTTTCAGTTCCCAACATCACACCTTTAGTGGAAGAGCTAAGATTTGAATCCAGACAGTCTGGCCCCAGAGCCTATGGCCTTATCTACTACCCAACACGACATAAAGCTGTGATTCCTGCTACATTTGGTTAAACTGCCATACACACAGATAATCACTTAAAAAAAAGATTATTTATTTGAGAGAGAGAACTAGTGGGAGGGTTAGAGGGAGAGGAAGAGAGAATGGCAAGCAGACTCCCTGCTGAGCACGGAGTCAAAAGGCGGGGCTCCATCCCAGGACCCTGAGATCAGGGCCTAAGCTGAAACCGAGAGTTGGAGGCTTAACCAATTGCGCCACCCAGACACCCCCATAATCCCTTTTCACTCACAATCACTGGCATGCAGACTTCCCCAATACGTTCAAAATCATGTGACACAATTCTTACCTTCTCAGCTCTGACTTTTGCACATGCAGTTTCCTTTCCTTGGAATACCTTTCTTCTAATTATTCACCTGTCTCTATTATTATTCTTCAGATCTTTTAGGAAGCCTTCCTTGACCACCCAACTCTCAGGTGAATGCTTCTGCTATGGGCACACATGCTGCATGATGCTTAACAGTTACAGCGCTTATCATAATGCCTTATAGTTTTGTCATTGTCCTGGCTGTCTCCCCCACTGGACTCTAAGTTCCCTAAGGGCAGGGACACTGCTTTGTTCAGGAAAGGATCTCTAGCACTGAGTACAGTGCCTGGTATGAAGTATGTACGTAATTACAAAGTAACCTCTCACTTATAATCCTCTAGACAATGACCAAATATTTCTCACACATACATGCAGCCACTAGGACGCTCTCCTGACACATACAAGGCTGTCCCATTCACTCTTGTCCATGCACCCTCAATCACTGTGACTTATTGCCCATGCTCAGTCTCTGTCATGTTCCTCACACACCCTCACCACTGCAACCCATCACACACAATTACTGTGACACAGCTCTGATCCTCAATCACTGTCACACACTGTTTTTCACACAATCATGGTCACCATCTGTACTCTTATAACAGGGTATTTACTCTCCTATAAAAACTGAGTTAAGATGACAACAGCTCTATTTTTCACACACGCCTTCACATACTGTATTTTTTTATCCACATAATCCCTGACAATCCCTGGCATTACACAGTTATGGTCACACACGGTCTACTGTCTTCTTCCTACTCCCACTTGACACCCACTTCCCCTTACACGCGCACGCGCGCGCGTATACACACACACACACACACACACACACACTCTCACAGTCAAGGGATCGGAGGGGTCCGGCCGCGGGGGTCTGAGCCGCCCTCTCTCAGCGCCAGAATCTCACTCCCACACCGTACACACTTACACACTTACACACTTACACTCACTCGGTCACTCAACTCACTCTCATGGTCGAGGGACCGGAGGGGCGGGTCCGCGGGGGTCTGAGCCGCCGGGGGGTCAGCGCCGGAGTCTCAGCCCCGGCCAGCGCGGCCCCGCCCCGCCCCGCCCCCTCATGCATATGCAGCACCTCAGCCTCGGAGCCCGGCCCCCAGACGGCCATTTGTAGCGGCGCTGGAGGCTGCGTTCCGCAGGCGCTGCGGAGACGTGTGGAGGAGCGCGCCCCCCGGCCGCTGCCGCCCCTGGCCCCTGCGGTCCTCCCGCTTCTCCGCGCTTCGGGCGGGACCCGGCCAGCCCGGGCGCCGCGCCGCCGCCCGGAGCGGCCCTCCCGGCAGCTCCCGGCGCCCGGGACCCCCGCCCGCCGCTCGCCCGCAGCCCGCCGGCCGCACACGTCTCCGGAGCCGGGCCTAGGGCGGGCGGCGGCTCGGCGTGGCCGGGCGGGCTCGGCGGCGTCCCCATGGCCGCGGCCGGCTGGCGGGACGGCTCCGGCCAGGAGAAGTACCGGCTCGTGGTGGTCGGCGGAGGCGGCGTGGGCAAGTCGGCGCTCACCATCCAGTTCATCCAGGTGCCTGGAGCGGGCCTGCCGGGGGCGCCGGGGCGGCGGCGGGCGGGTGCTCGCGGTACCTGTGGCGGGGCGGCTGCCGCGACCCCGCCCCGGAGGCGCCGCGCGGGCCGGGGGCGGGTGTTGGGGGGGGTGCGGGCCGGGCTCTGCCCTCCTGCCCTGCGGCCGTGACGCCGCTCTCCTGCCTGCCCGGCGCCCTGCTCGGCGTCCCGGGAGTCGGGCTTCTCAGGAATGTGTCCGGGAGGGCGGAGCTGGCAGGGTGGGAAGCGCCGATCCACCTTATCGCTCCGGTCGGGGCCGAGCCCTCCCGGGAGGCTGCGCCGCCGCGCCGGGCTTCCTGCCCCGCGGCCCGGGCTCGGGGCGTCGGGTGTGGGGCTGCAGCCCCTCGCGCTGGGCTTCCAGCCACCGCGGCCGCCTCCGGCACCGTCGGTGCGATCGCGGTGGCAACTTGGCCGCGGCTCCGCGTGGTCTGCGGGTTTCTCCGTGCACGCCGAGCCGGAGCTGCCCGCTTCGAGCTGTGTGTTTCTCTTTGTGTGTGTTTGTGCTTTTCTTTTAAGTAATCTCTTAGGTAATATGTCCGGGGGGGAGTGTGTGATAATGCCCGAGGGAAATGGTGGCTTCGAGGAAGTTAAGAATGTTCTCCGATAGGGGTGAGACCATTTCCTAGGAATTCCTGGTGCCTTCCTGCTTCTCGCTTTGCCAAGGTGAAGTTTGGGATGGGCCAGGCTAGGAGATGACCGACCGGGGCGTGCCTTCTAGATCTGTTCCAATAACCCACTCCTCCACTCCCTGCTCGCTCTGGTTGCTAGAGGCGAAAGTCAGGGCTTGTGGTAAAGAAAAGGGCGTTGGAATTCGTCATTCTTGGGATTTGCTCTTGTTAAGAGGTTTGAGTGATCTTTTTCGGGATTTTAAAAATGAGAAACCCAGATGTCTCTCTGCTTTTGTCCACCTAAAAGGTGTGGCACATGCTGGGAGAGAACGAAGGTATCCCTTTATACAGGTTAAAAAGATACTCTTACTATATCAAGAGTACTGTTAAGATGCTTTGGTGAAGAATTAATTTCTGGTTTCCGTTTCATCCATTTGTTATCAGCTGGGATGCTTAAATGGCTATTTCACTTAACGTTTAGAGTAACATTAAAATACAGAGTACTGTTAACATAAATGTGCTTGTTACCTTTCACATTGACTAAATGAGCAATAATGCTGTTATAATATTTCAAGGGGTTTAAAAACTACTGCTAAAACCTTTGTGTCCAGGAAGAGAAGATGTTTATGTAATGAGCATTTACAGTATGCTCATTAAGTGGGTTAAAAAAAAATCACACTGAGTAAGAGGTGAGATTGGTTTAAGTTTCGCAGGCTGCAGAATCAGGGCCGGCATTTTCGTAGGGCCGAGAGAGACTTTAACTGATGGCAAAGCAAAACAATTTATAGCTTAACCTTTCTTTGGGGGCTGTAGTTGGCGGGGGGGGGGGGGGGGGCGGCAGTGGTGGTGAGGAGTGACAGAAGAATCCTGGGTTCCAGTATTAGTAAAGTGTCACCTGAAAGGTTAAACTACACATACTTAGGTCCTTTGTGGGGAGGGACCATCTGAATGTATTTAAATCTGTAGGTTATTTAATTAAGGTATTGGAACCTTTTGTTTTCGGGAAATAGTTTTAGAAACTGCTAAGATAACAATAATTGCTATTTTTAAAAATGATTCTCTAGAATTCATTTGATAAAGAAATACCTCCTTTATGAATAGTACTGTACTAGATAACAGAAGTAAAGGAGGCGTGTATGGATGAGAAACACACACACATATATATATACATAGAGAAAAAGTGAGCTTTGAGTCAGCTTAAGCGTCTGTCTCTTGCTCTGTCATTTATTGGTTGTGAGAACACTGCCAGAATATTCAGCTTCACTGAGTCTCAATTTAATCATCAGCAAAATGGATGGGATCACACATTGTTTATAATCCTTTAAATTACGGGAATGTTCTTAGCACTGTGTCACATAGTATGTACTCAGTTAATGATGGCTATTAGTATAAGTGTCTGTGTATAATTCTGTAACACATTTAAATGCAAAGGGAATTCGGAATTGGGGAAAAGTCAATTTGGGAAGAATTGATAAAAGGACTGTATAGGCTTTGTGGGAGGGAGAGAGAATGCATCTTATGTGAGTATGGGGGAAGATACATGCTAGTTTGGAGAGAGAGAAGGCAGGCAGGGAGGGGAGTGGGAGAGGCAGATGAGTTGGAGCCAGTGAAAGGGGGCTCTGACTCCAAGGAGACCTGCAGAGGTAGAAGCCAGTCCACCTGGATGGAGTCTCAACTGTGCCACTTGCTGCATGTATAACGTTAGATAAATTACCTAAACTCAGTACCTCAGTTTTCCCCATCCGTAATCTGGGGAAATTGAAAGTACCCCGCATACTCTTGTGGTGAAAATTAAATGAGTTGACCTATGTCAAGAGCTTAAAACAATGCCTAGTGCATAATAAGTCTACAGACATTATTATTGTGAGATTAATCTTATACTGTGGATCTAAAGTGACTATTTATCATCCACACTTAATAGAGCCACTATTTATTGTCTCACTCTTGGGAAATTAAAATTCATTCTGCTGTGATTGTCTAGCAGTAGTAATTGGAGGGCGAGGAGATGGCAGCAGGATAATAATCTTAACAAGTGGAAGTCCGTTCTCGTAGGAGATCAGGATGACACAAATTGGTTTTATTTACTTTTTAAGTCTTCTGAAATGACACTTTTTGGTGTTCAGTTTATATTTTTCTATTATATAATCTTGAGCAGAAAAAATATGGTAAATTGGTGAATGGAGAATTTAAAAACAACTTTGTCTTTAGCCTTGACTTTCTTTAACCTTAGATGTACTTGGGACCTATGCATATGAAGAGCTGCAAAATAGGAAATTAAGGCAATAAGTACTTAATTGAGGTGCCTTTTCCTCTTTAAAAATGAATTTAGCAAATTATAAAGTATAAAAATGTAAAATATGTGGAGTTAATCTTTCTATTCATAGTTTTTTGAAAAATGTTTTTAAGTTTTGTTGGTACATAGAATACCTAAATGAGAGTAAACTGTAATTAGGAAATGATCTTAACATTGTACAAAGTGAAATGGAGAGTGTTTTGCATATCTGGATTCTGGGTCTCCCTACTCAGGTGATGTTGTGGAATCTCTTAATCTCTCAATCTTTTCAAGGCTTCAGTTTTTTTTTTTTTTTTTAAGATTTTATTTATTTATTTGACAGAGAGAGAGAGAGCACAAGCAGGCAGAGAGGCAGGCAGAGGGAGAGGGAGAAGCAGACTCCCCACTGAGCAGGGAGCCTGATGCGGGGCTTGATCCCAGGACCCTGGGATCATGACCTGAGGTGAAGGCAGCCGCCTAACCGACTGAGCCACTCAGGCGCCCCCCCCCCCTTTTTTTTTCCTCCATAAAATGTTGAGTTTGGGTGAACAAATTTCTGCGCCTTTGAAACTCTAGGTTCTTTCTTATTTAGTTAACTAGCTGTGTGTCTTTAGTCAAGTTTCTTGGGTTCTCCAAGCCTCAGTTTCCCTATATGAAAAGGGAGACTAATAGTATCTTTAGGGTTTTTGGAATAAATACAATAATGCATGCAAATCATTTGGCACAGTGCCATCTACAGAGTAAGTTGATAATAATTGTTACCTGGTTTTATTTGCTGCTATTACTATCTTGTTCTTCCAAAACAAAATTTGTAATTTCTTCATTTTTCCTTGCCACATAATCTGGTCTATTAAGTCTTCAGCAGCCCCCACCTCCCACCCCAGCCTCAAACTCCCCTCTTCACATTGTGTGGTCTTTAGGTGATAAATGTTGATACCGTTTTGAGTTGGGGAAACTTATCAGTTGCAAGTTGATTTTTAGGAAATTTGGAGTAATTATTGGGGTTTTGAGTTAATGCTTTACCTGGTAACTCTCAGAAGAGAACATATGCGTTTTACAGAATTAGAGGAATTTCCCAGCTTCTAGTCTTTGTTTAGCATCCTCACTTTATTGAGCAGTTTGTCAGATTTTGAGCTGTGTAGGGGGTAGTTGATTGCTCACATGTTGAGTGTTAGTCAGTCTTGCAACCTGTTAGTCTGGACCTGACTCAGACATTACGTTTTACTCCGAGTTTGTCTTTTGCTGAATGCTTTTTCATTGACTTTTCCTGGGGCAGAGATCCTAGAAGAGATTTCAAGACTCATGTATTTATGTTATAGTTAATTGATCCATGTGTGAAGGGCGTGAGTTTAGGTTCTGAAATTGGTGCTCTACTGCAGTGTCTTGAAGACACTCTCTGCAATTAGAAGTCACTTAAAATAACTCGTGCCTGTGAATTTGAAACTATAGACTTATTTTTTGTGTGCGTATTTATTGCTTTACATTTTCAGAGTAATTTACAAATGAATTCTTAGGATTGAAAAATAAGGCTCCTCTCCTGATGGTGGTACTTACTAGAGATTGCCTCATTCTGGTAACATCAGAAATGGATCTGCTGGCAATTCCTGCATAGAAGTGGTAGGCGCACAAGGAAGAGGATGGCCACTTTTGTCAAAGGAGAAGCAGAAGGAAATTCTGACCTTAGGTCTCTTAAAACTCATTCTTTTTATTCATTCTAACATGTGTGCATCTCTCCTGAATGGGATGGGGAAAGTTGAAGGAGTGTAGTGGGGACATTTTTGTTGAGTAGGTTCAAGAATTTGTTTTTCCCCTTGATGTAATACCATTAGAATGCAAAGTGATTACGACAGGCAGCTGCCTACTGGGATGAGATTTTTAATTCACCTGTGAGGCTGAAATGTGGGTCTTTGCAAACTTTGAAGTGAAAGTAGTTGTTAATTTGGAATTAAATTGGTAACTTTAAAAGGGGGGAAAGGGTGGGAAAAGAGACTTTTTTCCCCAAAGATTTTATTTATTTGTTTGACGGAGAGAGAGAGCACAAGCAGGGGGAGTGGCAGGCAGAGGGAGAAGCAGGCTCCCCGC